GGGGGTAGGAGGGGTAGGACGGGATAGGATTCGCGTAATCTTATTGCTACTTGATTATTAAAGCGCTGATATCGTTATAGCAATGCTTTGATCTTTTATTCAATTAGTAAGAAACAGATAATTATACTTATTTTTAGGTTTTTTATTTTTAATATACTTTGCGATATACGAAATACTAACTTTAATTTATTTTCGCTGATTTGCCGATCGCAAATCGATTAAAGGTTTAAATTTTCTATTGAAATGTGATTAGTAAATATGATTAGTAAATGTGATTAGTAAATGTGTTAGATTGCTTTCAAGCGATTAGGAATATATTCGTAAGGTCGTAACGTTCGTTAAAGTACTTGCAATTGCAAAACACTCGGTTAATAAGGTATTTGAATTCTGTTTGCTCTTTAAGACTCAAGGGAGTTGATTCTTTTTATACGATTAGAAGGAATCACGAGCATTAGCTAATTAATAGGTTTACTTGTCAAGTTAGGGTCCTTTGAGTGCTGATATGCTAAGCGAGGCATGCCAAGTGGCCCGTGAACCATGGTTCACGGGTGAGCTCCTTTAACTATTACTACTAGCTAATTAAAGTCGATAATGATATATTAACAAAATATGATTAGTAAATGTAATTAGTAAATGTAATTAGTAAATGTAATTAGTAAATGTGATTAGTAAATATGATTAGTAAATGTGATTAGTAAATATGATTAGTAAATGTGATTAATAAATATGATTAGTAAATGTGATTAGTAAATATGATTAGTAAATCGATTAGTAAATATGATTAGTAAATATGATTAGTAAATATCATTAGTAAATATGATTAGTAAATACCAGGGCAAAGGACCAAGTTCTTTGTAGTGTTACTAACGAGCTAATTATTCGATTTATAAAAATCTTTATATATTAAAGTAAATTATAAAATAAATAATAATAGAAACTGAATAAATCTAAAAGTAATTGGCGCAAAAAATAATTTATCTAATTATTTATTATAAAAAAGAAACCTCTTTGAATACTTCTTTTTATAAGAGAGACTTTAAACCCTTTTACGAATTACTTATATTTTAATAATTTAATATAAGACGAGGACCCCCTTAAACCCCCTTTTTTACTAAGAAAACCTAAGACCCTTTTGCGAATTACTTATATTTAATAATTTATTATAAAGGGGGGACCCTTTTAAACCCCCGTTTTTACTAAGGAAACCTTAGACTCTTTTGCAAATTGCTTATATTTAATAATTTAATATAAGGAGGAGACCCTCTTAAACCCCCCCTTTTTACTAAGGAAACCTCAGCTCCTTTTGCGAATTACTTATACTTAATAATTTAATATAAAGGGGGGACCCCTTTAAACCCCCCTTTTTATTAAAGAAACCTT